AGGAAGTCCCTTGTTGTGTCATTTTACATTTGCTTCTCTGGGGCCCCCGTCATTGACTATGTTTATGGGAATTATTGGCTTGGGATTCCTACACCATGTGGTGCTGTAAATTTGGGCCCCACAAGTATGCAGTACAGTCTTGAGGAATCCATTAATTTTTTTTTTTCTACTCAGAACCACCCCCAGGCAGATGGCAAACTTTCATACAGCTTCCCTATGTCAGTTGGTGATATTTTTACTATTCCCATTTTTGTGTTGACTAAGCCACTCTTTGTGCATTTCAGCTTGTGTGTGGATCTTGCTACCAGCTCACAGCCTTGAACAATCTGAGTCCATGTTGATCTGGCCTGTATTTTAAAACTCCTGTCCCAGGCCCTAGGGCCTATATCTAGGTAAAATTAGTATTTTTGCATTAAGCAATTTGTGCATATTTGACTTTAATGCACTTGGAATTTTTTAGATAATTTAGCCTAGTAACATCTCAGCTTTGTGATTTTAACTTAAAATGTTTAATTGATTGTGATTTTATGTTGTCTTACTAAAAGTTTATATACAATATGAGAACATTTAAGAGAATGCTAATTTTTCCCATATTTATGTATTTAGTGTAGTAGGTAATGAAAGTTATTTCTGTTCTAGGGAAGTTTTTGTTTAAGTCAGACAATACTTAAAATGGAAAATAAATATATGAATTTATAAATATAGTTTAATAAATTAAGGGATATTTACTTATGCTATAAAAAGCAGCCCTAAAATGAATTTTTTTAGTAGCTAGGTTTTTTTGTTTTTGTTTTTCCTTTTTGTCTTTTTTCGTGACCGGTAACGGGATCGCAACCCTCGGTGTCACGCCCAAACCACGCTCATCCAGTGAGCTGACCGGTCTCTATATGGTATCCAAACCCTCGGCGGGAGCGCCGCCATGCTCCCAAGCTCCGCACTCTACTGAGTGCACCACCGGGCCGGCCCTAGAAGCTAGGTTTTTTAAATAGAAAAATAAGACTGTAAGAGGCCGGCCCGGTGGCGCACTGCTACAGTGCGCCGCTTGAGAGCGTGGTGGCGCTGCCGCC